TATTTTATTATATTAAATTCAACAAGTGGAAAACGCACATGGTATGAATTTTGTTGCAACAAGACATTGCAGATATTTATTTTTGCAAAACCTTTCATTCCGGTTCAGCTATTTAATTCCATGATACTATTAAATTGTGCACAAATAATTCGTTGAATGACCGCACCGTGTGGGCGTAACAATGAATCTACGTTCTACTAATTTACGCTAAAAATATACTTTGATCAAAATTACCTAGCTGGCGAACGGCACCAAAGAACAGGGCGTTGTGACATGCAATTAAACTTGCAATTATCTTGCTTGTACAGAGGATGCTTGCGTATTTAATAGCAAATTGAAACTTATTTTCTCAATTTTCCGAGAATTAATTTTAAATGACCCAGATTTATTCAAAACCACTAAAACCACTTTATTAAAACTTTTACTAAAGTTACTTTGTTATATAAATTTTCGGGAATTTTGTGCAAAAACGTTATTTCAACTTTTAGAAATTAATTAATTTATAATGATCTTTATTTTTAATTTAACATCAATTAATTCTACTTCTATTAGTATTATTACTAACATAGTATGCATTTTTTAGAAATATGATGAAATATTATATGGTTGTAACTTTTGCACAAGTGTCTAATAACGCGATATGCGTATTGCAATACGAATACTGTGATATTGGTTGCATACTTGTAATGATGACGTCGGGTACGATAATTAATTAACACACATGTACGCATGTATTATGCGATGTTTCTAACAATGTTTTCTAAGATACTTCTATATTGCATGTATCATTATGTATATTTTCCAGTATCTTTTTCCGACGAATACTTTGTTTCATATCAAATCAAGATCTTTTAGCTTTATTAATGGGTCCTATCAGAATATAGCATAGATTTGAACTTATCTACATCGATATTACTGGAGTTGCGTTCGAGATGTTCTTTTTAACTCCTACATCAATGTATATTCATACGCGTACGATGCATCGAGGTCAGAGTAATATTACTAACTAGTTCACACCTGGTAATAATAAAAATTGGACTTGAGACTCAATTCTGTACATTGTGTAAAATTTCCCAAAACTTCTATAACAAAGTAAAAAAAAAATTTATTATTTAACTAGAAACACAAGGTCTTTGTTGTAAGTGCTATAATATTAACTCAGGACGATAGGAAGTTATATACTTTAGAAGTTTGCACATACTCAACTATGCTGTATGCAACCAACAGTACAGTATTCGTATTGCAATACGCAAATCGCGTTATTGGTTGCATACTTGCAATGATGACGTCGGGTACGATAAGTAATTAACACACTGTACTATGCGATGATGATTTTTAAAATACTTTTATGTTGCTATGTTCCAAGTCATCACATTTTCATAGACTAGTTAACATCACAAGAGTTTTATAACCATATGAAACAATTCCAATAATAAGTTTTGCCGAGGTTGCTTGCAGCGAAGACGCCGCTATTTGTTATAACCAGACTTGAGTGGATGTATCATTCGGCTTGGTAATCTCCGTCATATGTTTAGCCAAAACATGCAATATATATTTTCCAATTTTCTATGGATTTATTATCCATTACAGTTTTTCCGACGAATACTTTGTTTCATAACGAAGATCTTTTAGCTTTATTAATGGTTACTGTCACATCCGTTTTGATGATATCAACTCAGTTAGTTTCCTATCAGAATATAGCATAGATTTGAACTTATCTACATCGATATTACTGGAGATCAAAGTAATATCACTAACTGGTTCACACGTGGTAATAACAAAAATTGGCCCTGAGACTCAATTCTGTACATTGTGTAAAATTTTCCTAAAACTTCTATAACAAAGTAAAAAATAAATTATTATTTAACTAGAAATACAAGGTCTTTGTCTTAAGTGCTATAATATTAACTCAGGACGATAGGAAGTTATCTACTTTAGAAGTTTGCGCATCCTCAACTTTGCTCTATGCAACCAACAGTACAGTATTTGTATTGCAATATGCAAATCGCATTATTGGTTGCATACTTGCAATGATGACGTCGGGTACGATAATTAATTAACACACTGTATTATGCGATGTTTCTAACAATGATTTTTAAAATACTTTTATGTTGCTATGTTCCAAGTCATCACATTTTCATAGACTAGTTAACATCACAAGAGTTTTATGACCATATGAAACAATTCCAATAATAAGTTTTGCCGAGGTTGCTTGCAGCGAAGACGCCGCTATTTGTTATAACCAGACTTGAGTGGATGTATCATAATCTCCGTCATATGTTTAGCCAAAACATGCAATATATATTTTCCAATTTTCTATGGATTTATTATCCATTACAGTTTTTCCGACGAATACTTTGTTTCATAACGAAGATCTTTTAGCTTTATTAATGGTTACTGTCACATCCGTTTTGATGATATCAACTCAGTTAGTTTCCTATCAGAATATAGCATAGATTTGAACTTATCTACATCGATATTACTGGAGATCAAAGTAATATCACTAACTGGTTCACACGTGGTAATAACAAAAATTGGCCCTGAGACTCAATTCTGTACATTGTGTAAAATTTTCCTAAAACTTCTATAACAAAGTAAAAAATAAATTTATTATTTAACTAGAAACACAAGGTCTTTGTCGTAAGTGCTATAATATTAACTCAGGACGATAGGAAGTTATCTACTTTAGAAGTTTGCGCATCCTCAACTTTGCTCTATGCAACCAACAGTACAGTATTTGTATTGCAATACGCAAATCGCGTTATTGGTTGCATACTTGCAATGATGACGTCGGGTACGATAATTAATTAGCACACTGTATTATGCGATGTTTCTAAGAATGATTTTTAAAATACTTTTATGTTGCTATGTTCCAAGTCATCACATTTTCATAGACTAGTTAACATCACAAGAGTTTTATTACCATATGAAACAATTCTAATAATAAGTTTTGCCGAGGTTGCCTGCAGCGAAGACGCCGCTATTTGTTATAACCAGACTTGAGTGGATGTATCATTCGGCTTGGTAATCTCCGTCATATGTTTAGCCAAAACATGCAATATATATTTTCCAATTTTCTATGGATTTATTATCCATTACAGTTTTTCCGACGAATACTTTGTTTCATAACGAAGATCTTTTAGCTTTATTAATGGTTACTGTCACATCCGTTTTGATGATATCAACTCAGTTAGTTTCCTATCAGAATATAGCATAGATTTGAACTTATCTACATCGATATTACTGGAGATCAAAGTAATATCACTAACTGGTTCACACGTGGTAATAACAAAAATTGGCCCTGAAACTCAATTTTGTACATTGTGTAAAATTTTCCTAAAACTTCTATAACAAAGTAAAAAATAAATTTATTATTTAACTAGAAACACAAGGTCTTTGTCGTAAGTGCTATAATATTAACTCAGGACGATAGGAAGTTATCTACTTTAGAAGTTTGCGCATCCTCAACTTTGCTCTATGCAACCAACAGTACAGTATTTGTATTGCAATATGCAAATCGCGTTATTGGTTGCATACTTGCAATGATGACGTCGGGTACGATAATTAATTAACACACTGTATTATGCGATGTTTCTAAGAATGATTTTTAAAATACTTTTATGTTGCTATGTTCCAAGTCATCACATTTTTATAGACTAGTTAACATCACAAGAGTTTTATTACCATATGAAACAATTCCAATAATAAGTTTTGCCGAGGTTGCTTGCAGCGAAGACGCCGTTATTTGTTATAACCAGACTTGAGTGGATATATCATTCGGCTTGGTAATCTCTGTCATATGTTTAGCCAAAACATGCAATATATATTTTCCAATTTTCTATGGATTTATTATCCATTACAGTTTTTCCGACGAATACTTTGTTTCATAACGAAGATCTTTTAGCTTTATTAATGGTTACTGTCACATCCGTTTTGATGATATCAACTCAGTTAGTTTCCTATCAGAATATAGCATAGATTTGAACTTATCTACATCGATATTACTGGAGATCAAAGTAATATCACTAACTGGTTCACACGTGGTAATAACAAAAATTGGCCCTGAGACTCAATTCTGTACATTGTGTAAAATTTTCCTAAAACTTCTATAACAAAGTAAAAAATAAATTATTATTTAACTAGAAATACAAGGTCTTTGTCTTAAGTGCTATAATATTAACTCAGGACGATAGGAAGTTATCTACTTTAGAAGTTTGCGCATCCTCAACTTTGCTCTATGCAACCAACAGTACAGTATTTGTATTGCAATATGCAAATCGCATTATTGGTTGCATACTTGCAATGATGACGTCGGGTACGATAATTAATTAACACACTGTATTATGCGATGTTTCTAACAATGATTTTTAAAATACTTTTATGTTGCTATGTTCCAAGTCATCACATTTTTATAGACTAGTTAACATCACAAGAGTTTTATGACCATATGAAACAATTCCAATAATAAGTTTTGCCGAGGTTGCTTGCAGCGAAGACGCCGCTATTTGTTATAACCAGACTTGAGTGGATGTATCATTCGGCTTGGTAATCTCCGTCATATGTTTAGCCACAACATGCAATATATATTTTCCAATTTTCTATGGATTTATTATCCATTACAGTTTTTCCGACGAATACTTTGTTTCATAACGAAGATCTTTTAGCTTTATTAATGGTAATAACAAAAATTGGCCCTGAGACTCAATTCTGTACATTGTGTAAAATTTCCCAAAACTTCTATAACAAAGTAAAAACTTGTAAAAAAAAAAAATTTTATTGTTAAACTAGAAACACAAGGTCTTTGTCTTAAGTGCTATAATATTAATTCAGGACGATAGGAAGTTATCTACTTTAGAAGTTTGCACACCCTCAACTTTGCTGGTTGATATTTAATTTCGAGATGTTAATCTTAAAGTTTCGTACGGGTGTAGTATAAGGTTACAAGGATCCAAGTATAATGTGCATTATAATAATGTAATGTCGAGTTATTAATGTAATATTAATTATTAATGTTGTAAAGTATTAAAATATATTACGAGATATAAATATAGGTTTTAAAAGTGAAAAAAAAAACCGATAACTGCTAACGGAGCAACGGCCATTCAAACTGAAAACAATGGGCACAACGGACGAATTTTCGCTCGCCTCGGGGTATTTAGCTCGAATACAGAGGGATTTTATAAAGAGAATTCAATTTCAACTGCACGACGCTGAACTGTAAAATTGTATCGACTATAATGGCGATTTGGAGAGGTTCGTTTCTTTTTCTTTTTATTGTCCACACCCGTCAACACTGAAAACAAATAGAAGCCTTCCTGCATACTTAACAGTAGCAAACGTAACATAATTTTTTTTTCCCAAGTTTTCTTCCGTAGCATCGCTGGTTTCCATTTCCATTCAGCTTTCACAATGTTTGCCCAACGTCCCGGGAAGATACATATCAACGAGAAGGTGCTGATGCGTCTTTCCGAAAAGGCCAAATTGGACAATTCTCAGAAAGGATACCTGTATAAAAGGACTGCCGATCAAAAGCAGTGGAGGATGCGTTATTTCATTTTATATCAGGTAGGTTAACAAAAATCGACAGTCGAAAAGCTTTTTAATAAACATTTCCAGGAATAGGTTTTGTGCACATATTCGCAAAATCAATAATGCTTACGTTTAAAAACTTTTAAACATTTCATTTATAAACAAAATCTAAATGTATAATAAATAGTATTTCATCCCATAAATAGATGTTAGCATTCAACTTCGTTATACTCCATAACACGGGGGACGGTTTATTACCTCGATGATGATTTCGCGGATTGAAACCCGCTGGAATGCAATAATTTGCTTTCCCATTCCTATAATATGCTGGTCTGAACTCCGATACTTCGTAATTAAATAACAAACAAACTCAATAGGGCATATACTCTGTTTATTTACCGACGTAATAGATCTCGTTTGATGTATGTCATATTTCACGATGATTTATTGGATTTATAAACAAAATTTTATACCCGTTATATTAATTATTAAGCTCAATTCCTAATACGTAGCTAATCCTTAAAGCCTCCTATGAGATTTTAGTGGATCTATTACCAATCTCCTTATCACACTAATTTCATCAACACATACCTTGATTATTGGTGGAGATATGACTAAATGTTATAGAAGAAATCTTTAAGTATTATATTTATGATAAAACACTTAGGATTCGGAGCATACTTCAAAAAAGCTTTTAGAAATATCGAGAAAAATACGAAAATATGAAAATTTGTAGTAAGTTGTTAATGGTATCAAGTCTTTGCTTGAAATTTATGAAAGAAATAATCTCGGCCCATAAATAAGTATTGGTCATGATACTTAGGGCGGCCGACGTTTTTGAAGTCGGCCGAGATTATATCATATATCATGAAAAATACTTAGCGCGGTTATCCTGCTTGCAGTTTATGGAAGAAATAATCTCGGCCGACTTCGAAGACGTCGGCCGCCCGAAGTATCATGCTTGAAGCGGCCGACGTCTTCGAAGTCGGCCGAGGTTTGAAAGAACTTCGAAGACGTCGGCCGCACTAAATATTGTTCTTGATACTTAGGTTGGGGTCGTTATTAGGAATTNCCTATAATATGCTGGTCTGAACTCCGATACTTCGTAATTAAATAACAAACAAACTCAATAGGGCATATACTCTGTTTATTTACCGACGTAATAGATCTCGTTTGATGTATGTCATATTTCACGATGATTTATTGGATTTATAAACAAAATTTTATACCCGTTATATTAATTATTAAGCTCAATTCCTAATACGTAGCTAATCCTTAAAGCCTCCTATGAGATTTTAGTGGATCTATTACCAATCTCCTTATCACACTAATTTCATCAACACATACCTTGATTATTGGTGGAGATATGACTAAATGTTATAGAAGAAATCTTTAAGTATTATATTTATGATAAAACACTTAGGATTCGGAGCATACTTCAAAAAAGCTTTTAGAAATATCGAGAAAAATACGAAAATATGAAAATTTGTAGTAAGTTGTTAATGGTATCAAGTCTTTGCTTGAAATTTATGAAAGAAATAATCTCGGCCCATAAATAAGTATTGGTCATGATACTTAGGGCGGCCGACGTCTTCGAAGTCGGCCGAGATTATATCATATATCATGAAAAATACTTAGCGCGGCTATCCTGCTTTCAATTTATGGAAGAAATAATCTTGGCCCATAAATAAGTATTAATCATGACACTTGGGGCGGCCGACGTCTTCGAAGTCGGCCGAGATTACGTCATATATCATGAAAAATACTTAGCGCGGCTATCCTGCATACAGTGTATGGAAGAAATAATCTCCAAGTATCATCCTTGGAGTGGCCGACGTCTTCGAAGTCAGCCGAGATTATTTCTTATATCATAAATAATATGAGTAATAACATTTTGTCATATCTCCAACAATAATCACGATATTTGCTGTGACAGCTCAATCAAACAAATTATATATATTAATATGTACAGAATATGCTGTTCTATTATGAAAGTGAAGAAGATCAACGTCTATGTGGAGTTATTTTCTTGGAAGGTTGCTATTGTGAAAGAACTGTATGTCCGAGTACTTCTCAAACGGAATACGTAGATGATGGGGTAAAAAAGAATAAATACAGGGTGGAACAAAATGTTTTGAAATTGAAATGTTATTGTTTAGTTTGTTATAGAAATATCGTTCCTGAAAGATTCGATTAGAAGTTACGAGTTGAAGGCAACTACGGAGATGTTATGCGATCAGTGGTTGCAAGCCATTAGGAAAGTCGGGTAAGTGAAGTGTTTATTTTTGTTTGGTCGGAAGTCGTTTTGATTCCATTTCCTGTGGTTTTGAATTTCCATTAACTATTAACTGCTTCTTAAGCTCGGTACTTATTTAGCGGTAAAGTTAACTTGTATACGTAATCCTCCGGAGAGGTCGCGCTGCATACCTGCAACGATTCGTTCAGTTAATTTGATTGTCGATAAGTATTAATATTTACGAGAAAGGTTATTTTGCGTGTGACTAGTTGCATTTGCATCTATGTCCGAAATCGCCCTTTGATGTTCCTTTAGCTAGATATTCCGAGAATGTAACGCCAATTCAAACTTCCGGGTCAATGCAGATGAAGGTGTCTAGGTTACGTGGGCGTTTTGCATTTCGAGATATTCAGACCGTTAGATCCAAAGTACTTATATTTACAGTAGCGTTAGTTTACTCGCAGCTCGGATTACTGAAAATTGCGAAAATGGCACGAAAATGCTTTGTATCTGGATGGACGTAATTAAAAGGGATCAAAAGGAACATCCTATCCAGTGCATTTACTAAATTACCACATCGATTTGTCCCTTTCGTTTGCGTCGCAAACGCGGCGATAAATTTTCTCTCTCTATTTTCAGCTACAACGGTTTAAAAATGGCTAATCAGGAATTGGACGAGAAGCATCGACATCTTGTTCAAATCCTCGAGTTGGAAAAGAAAACTAAATGGAGATACGCCAAGGAATGCGAGGACCTCGATAAAGAAGTGAAAAGATTGAAAGTCGAAGTAAGCAAACTTCCTGCGGATTTGAGCGACTTATTTGTACCCATAACATTATAAGCTTCCCGCTGGGTGCAAATTAGATTGCTCGACTTCCTTCATCAATAAAATTGTATTTCAACAAATTTCATTTTTATAACCGTAGATGATAAATCTACGAAGGCAATTTAAATTGATGCCGACAGAAACTCCCGCTGATATGGCGAGGTCGGGCGCAAATTCTCCCGAACTTCGTAAAATAAAAAAGGTACAAAGCTTCTTCAGAGGTTGGTTATGCAGAAGGCGATGGAAACAAATTGTTGAACAATACATTAAAAGTCCGCATGCGGAGATTATGCGAAAAAGAAACAGTTTAGTTTTCCAAATGCTTGAAGCCGAAGAGGAATACGTCGATCAATTGGAGATCTTAATAAACTGCTTTATGAGACCACTAAAAATGGCGGCCTCATCCAAAAAACCTCCTTGTTCTCACGATGATATAGGCGCAATCTTTCTCAACTGCGAAACGGTCTTATTCCTTCATCAGATATTTTTAAAAGGGTTAACTTCTCGCGTGGACAACTGGCCTAATTTAGTCCTCGCGGATCTTTTTACTATCTTATTGCCAATGCTGACAATATATCAAGAATACGTCCGCAATCATCATTACTCAATACAGGTGCTCACGGGATTGAAACAAAATACGGCCTTTCATAGCTTGTTGCAAAGGTTAGAGGAGAAGCCAGCTTGCCGAGGAAGAACATTGGAAACATTTTTAACGTACCCCATGCATCAGGTGATTAAAACACATGAGGTGATAAAAATTTATAAAACTCCACGTTTTAGATTCCTCGATACATAATCACACTTCAAGAAATCATCGCTCACACTCCTCACGAACATGTCGAGTCAAAAACGTTGAGCGAAGCCAAGCAACAACTTGAAGAATTATCGAGGATTATGCATGACGAAGTAAGTAAAATCTATCTTTACCGATTGAAAAAAAAACAATAGGAATATCTTGCAGGTGTCGGAAACAGAAAATTTGAGGAAGAACCTATCGGTGGAACGGATGATCATCGAAGGGTGTGATTTATTATTGGATAATAACCAAATTTACATCAGACAGGGTTGAAAATCTTCTTTAGTGCATCCTTCTTGATTCTAGTGACAGTTTTCTGCTTATAGGAACGTTAGTGCAGGTACCGTGCGCCGGAAGTGGTAAGATCAAGGTGAACTTCAAATGTGATAAGGAAGTCATACGTCAATGTTTCCTATTTTCCAATCATCTGATTATTACAACTAGGTCGAATAGCGGCAGGCTACATTTAGTGCCGATTATCGGCAAAATAGCTTTAAAAGACGTCGAGCTTATCGAGGACCCGTGTGAAGATAGCTGCAACGGTAATAAAGCTTTTCCTCTCGGCGAAAGGTTTAACGAGCTTTTCTAGGTGACGCCAACGGTCGAAGAAACAAGTACAACAACTGTGATTTTAAATTAATAGTTACTTTAGTGGAAGAAGGAACTAATAAACTTAAAAATGACACCGTCGTCGTACATTTACTTTCCCCGACGAGACAAGAAAAGCTCGCTTGGATATCAGACATTAGTCAGTGTTTAGAAAATATTTCCAGAAATGATATCTTGAAACCGGCCATTCACGATACTAGTTTGGTGTGCTTACCTCGTTGCGTTAAGAACGACAACAAACTTTTCGATGACGAAGACGACATCAAATTCAGCAGAACGCTTAATTCATGCAAAGTTCCCCAAATTCGTTACGCTACATCTGAGAAATTACTTGCACGGCTCGCCGATTTGCGATTCCTATCGATCGACTTCCTGAACACCTTCCTCCTCACATACAGGATTTTCACCGATGCAATTACATTACTAAACACCTTGAAAAACATCTTTTCTAACACCGATTTTCAAACTATGAGTACAATGTTGTCCCAAGAAGATCTCGACACCGTCGACGAGAATCTCAATATTTATTACGGTAGACGAAGGAGCAGTCTCATCACACCCCGAAGAATTAGCGGAGCCAGTAGCGTTTCCGGTTATTACTCCGAATCTTCCGAACGCGATAGATCTCACAGTTACGACTCAAGAGTATTTGGGCATCGCAGAAGAACTTTGGAGAAATGTAAGTGATTATTATAAATCCAACAAAAATAAATTCGCGATTCTTAGACGAAGAAGAACCCAATGAAGAAGCAGTTCAAGTTAACGTAATTAGCCCCACAACTCCCGAAAAAAACATCTCCACACAAATAAGAGTTTCCATAGACGTTCATTATTCCGAAAATTCAGGACCCAGCACTTCAAGAAGGCGAAGTTCAATTATGAATCCCGGTAAGTTAATGTTTTTGGAAGATAAAAATCATTTTTAATGAAGTCGTAGATTTTAATCTTTTACCAATTACTGAGAAGCAAGAAAAGGCGCAGAAAAAATCGTTGAAAATATTATTAGAAAAATCGCCGGAAGGATCGTTGTTAGAAAAATCACCAGAAAAAGATTCAGCGGATCAAAGTCAAGATAAGGAAGAACAAGACGAAAAAAGCGACCCCAATAGTATTAAAGTAGTTGAAGACATAAAACCACCACTTTCATCCCCAACTGAACGTGCTCAAACAGCCGCGTCGAAGTGCGCCAATACAGTGTTGGAGTTTGCTGCGAGAATCGCTATTAGTTGACGGAGAGAGAGTTTTAGTTTCGTCAGGGTAAGATCTATAATTATTATTTCTTCTTTTTAACCTTAAAAAAAATCTAGCGATACTACGAAAAGCGAAGATCAACTCAAGAAGGTGTCATACCCCAATACATCTTAGAATCAGAAACGATGCTTCAATATACCCGAGCTGGCGTGATTATAACATCATCGCATCCCACGAATAGAAGAAGTAGCTTTTCAGAAACTGCTAGAGCTTTCGCTGTAGCTACTGCAGCTTCCACAACTCCACGAGATTTAAGTATGGAAGAAGAATCGGTTATCAGAACGAGACATAAAGAAAGTATCATCGCCACAGCTTGTACCATGAGAGTTTTAAACATTTTAAGGTTAAATTTAAATAAAAATTAAATCCAAATAGGATAATTAAAAAATTTTAGGCATTGGATATCAAAACATATTCAAGATTTCGAAAAGAACGACTTATTGAAGTACAAAACACTCCAGTTTTTAGATGAGATCATTTTTAGTACTAACTTGAGTCAACCTGAATATAAAGCTGCAACGAAATTAGTGCAGCTACTCGTTGAACGAGACGTTCCGAAAGAATCAACCACGATTCAGGAGTTGCTTAGTCTTCCAGCTGTAAATAATTAAATATTATTAATTTAATCAATTAATTTTTTATTTTTTCAGTGTTTTATTGATAGCATTGAAACTCTGTCAGCTCTAGAAATCGCCGAACAACTGGCTTATATCGAGCACAAGATATTCATATCAATCTCTTGCGAGTAAGTATTTTTATTACAGCATAAATAAAAAATTTTCTTATAAATAAAAAAAACTGTAGAGAATTTCTACATCAAGCTTGGATAAAAGAAAATAGGATGATAAAAGCGCCTAATATATGTTTGATGACGAAACGTTTTAATGACGTTTCTCGTCTGGTAATGTCAGAAATCTTACGACGATCTTCCGTAAGTGGAAGAGTGGCGGCTATCGAAAAATGGACGGCAATAGCAGACATTTCAAGATGCTTACATAATTACAATGGGGTTCTTGAAATAATGGCCGCATTCACCAACACTTATGTTTTTCGATTAAAAAAGACGTGGGAGAAGGTTTCGAAAACCACAAGATACACTATCGAGAAACTCCAAGCGATCGTTTCGTGCGATGGGAGATTTAGGGCTTTAAGAGATGCTATACATCATTGTGACCCTCCATGCGTTCCATATTTAGGATTGTATTTAGCTGATTTAGCGTTTATCGAGGAAGGAACTCCGAATATAACCGAAGACGGGCTGGTTAATTTTTCAAAAATGAGGATGGTAAGAAAACCGATTATTTATGAAATGATTGGAAACGTATTTAATTTTAGATAGCACACGTAATACGGGAAATACGTCACTTCCAGCAGACGACCTACAAAATTGAACTTGCACCAAGAGTTGTAAATTACCTCTTGGATACCACAACTTTATTATCAGACGAAGAACTTTATAAAATATCATTGCAACACGAACCGAGGGTGGCGAGATTAAGTCAAGCAACTATAAGCTCTTTGCCATCAATTCCTTGGAAGCGATCGTTCAAAAGACGCTCCACATCTCAATACTAAGTAATAATTATTTAACAATAACTTTTTTCATTCACTATTTATAAATATACGCTTTTGAAATTTTCATCTTTTTGAAATTACAAATTAAACGTTGCATATCGTATGAATATCATGTTTTCGTCGTTTTCCATTAATTGTAATAATGAAATTAAAAAAGTAGATATAAAAAAAATTAAAAAAAACTAAAAAAAAAATGAAAATGTTCAATTATTCTTGTTAAAGATGTTTAAAGTTTATCGGTAGGGATGTCTGTCATGTTTAAGCCTGACATATCAATTGACCATCCTAAACCATATGGATCATTATATATTTTCGATGTTCTACAACCTCAAATAAATAAGACACTAGCTATTTGTCAATGGCAAATAGTCTATTTTTGAAATTTAAACCTTTACTGTAGAGAAATAACTTGATGATCATAACGATTAATGAATATTAATTAATAATATAAAAGATAATTCTAGAAGGTTTTAATGACAATCGTTGGGAATTTTACCCTTTTCTTATAAATTTAAATTAAATTTAACCAATTTTAATTCCTAAATACAACAAAAAACATACGTACTTGTTAAGACAATATGCACTCATCTTCAGATTTAACTATGGCAGAAATGGATTGATGAATACGGCTATTTAATATGGTTATACGTAAATATCTGACAATATTTAAAAATATACAATTTTATCGATGTTTTTCATAAATGTTTGTCTATCTGTTGAGATTTTCTCCAAATTTTATTCATAATTAATATCCGTAAATATATACACATATATATATATGTTAGAAAATTAAAAATAAACGTTTCTGTTTCTGGATCTCTGGATTACTGTATTATGGAAATATATATGTAATGTTACAATAAAAATATTCACAAATAATATCTTGTTTTATTCAAAATACGTAAATACAGTTTCCATTTAAAACTATTTTGTTGTTCAAATACAGTGTTCGCCAAAAATCTGAAGTCGAGGCAACACAATACGAATACCTGTTGCAGGATGATATAGTATTAATTACTGAGCCTCGGCCGCAAGCGACCTTGGCTTAATTAATAAATGATCTACGATTTTAGTTGATAGAGTCGAGGTCACTCGCGGCCGAGGCGCTACAATATCAAGCCCAGTGTGAGGATGACATAATAACAATCACTGGGCCTCGGCCGCAAGCGAACTCGGCTTAATTAGTAAATGATCTACGATTTTATTTGATAGAGTCGTGATAACTCGCGGCCGAGGCGCCACAATATCAAGACCAGTTTCAGGATGATATAATATTAATCACTGAGCCTCGGCCGCAAGCGACCTTGGCTTAATTATTAAAAAATTCTACAATTTTACTAGATAGAGCCAAGGTCGCTTGCGGTCGAGGTGCTACAATATCAGGATTAATAAATTAGTCAAAAGATCTACAAATTTACTTGATAAAGCCGAGCTCGCTTGCGACTGAGGCGCCACAATATCAAGACCATTTTCAGAATGATATAATATTAATCACTGAGCCTCGGCCGCAAGCGACATCGACTTAATTAGTCGAAAGATCCACAATTTTATTTGATAAAGACGAGACCACTTGCGGCCGAGGCAACACAATATGAAAACCTGTTGCAGGATGATATAGTATTAATTACTGGGCCTCGGCCGCAAGCGACCTCGGCTTAATTAGTAAATGATCTACGATTTTAGTTGATAGAGTCGAGGCGCCATGATATCAAGACCAGTTTCATGATGATATAATATTAATCACTGAGCCTCGGCCGCAAGCGACCTTGGCTTAATTATTAAAAAATTCTACAATTTTACTAGATAGAGCCAAGGTCGCTTGCGGTCGAGGTGCTACAATATCAGGATTAATAAATTAGTCAAAAGATCTACAAATTTACTTGATAAAGCCGAACCTGCTTGCGGCCGAGGCGCCACAATATCAAGACTAGTTTCAGAATGATATATAATATTAATCACTGAGCCTCGGCCGCAAGCGACCTCGGCTTAATTAGTCGAAAGATCTACAATTCTATTTGATAAAGACGAGACCACTTGCGGCTGAGGCAATACAATATGAATACCTGTTGCACGATGATATAGTATTAAGTACTGGGCCTCGGCCGCAAGCGACCTCGGCTTAATTAGTAAATGATCTACGATTTTAGTTGATAGAGTCGAGAACACTCGCGGCCGAGGCGCCACAATATCCAGACCAGATTCAGGATGATATAATATTAATCACTGAGCCTCGGCCGCAAGCGACCTCGGCATAATTAGTAAAAAGACCTACAATTTTACTAGATAGAGCCAAGGTCGCTTGCAGTCGAGGTGCTACAATATCAGGATTAATAAATTAGTCAAAAGATCTACAAATTTACTTGATAAAGCCGAGCCCGCTTGCGGCCGAGGCGCCACAATATCAAGACCAGTTTCAGAATGATATAATATTAATCACTGAGCCTCGGCCGCAAGCGACCTCGGCTTAATTAGTCGAGAGATATACAATTCTATTTGATAAAGACGAGACCACTTGCGGCCGAGGCAACACAATAGGAAAACCTGTTGCATGATGATATAGTATTAATTACTGGGCCTCGGCCGCAAGCGACCTCGGCTTAATTAGTAAATGATCTACGATTTTATTTGATAGAGTCGTGATAACTCGCGGCCGAGGCGCCACAATATCAAGACCAGTTTCAGGATGATATAATATTAATCACTGAGCCTCGGCCGCAAGCGACCTTGGCTTAATTATTAAAAAGATTTACAATTTTACTAGATAGAGCCAACGTCGCTTGCGACCGAGGTGCTACAATATCAGGATTAATAAATTAGTTAAAAGATCTACAAATTTACTTGATAAACCCGAGCCCGCTTGCGGCCGAGGCGCTACAATATCAAGACCAGTTTCAGAATGATATAAATAATCACTGAGCCTTGGCCGCAAGCGACCTCGGCTTAATTAGTCAAAAGATCTACAATTCTATTTGATAAAGACGAGACCACTTGCGGCCGAGGCAACACAATATGAATACCTGTTGCAGAATGATATAGTATTAATTACTGGGCCTCGGCCGCAAGCGACCTCGGCTTAATTAGTAAATGATCTACGATTTTAGTTGATAGAGTCGAGGACACTCGCGACCGAGGCGCCACAATATCAAGACCAGATTCAGGATGATATAATATTAACCACTGGGCCTCGGCCGCAAGCGACCTCGGCATAATTAGTAAAAAGATCTACAATTTTAGTAGATAAAGCCAAGGTCACTTGTGGTCGAGGTGCTACAATATCAGGATTAATAAATTAGTCAAAAGATCTACAAATTTACTTGATAAAGACGAGACCACTTGCGGCCGAGGCAACACAATATGAATACCTATTGCACGATGATATAGTATTAATTACTGAGCCTCGGCCGCAAGCGACCTCGGCTTAATTAGTCAAAAATTTTACTTGATAAAGCCGAGGCGCCACAATATCAATACCTCAGAATGATATGATCTTAATTAATGAGCAAAAATCCTATTTTTGTGTAAAAAATTTGAATATTTAATAAAAATCGAAAACGATTTTGTAGAAACTTTTTGACAGACACTGTATTTTAATAACGAACGCATCAGCTCTTCACTCAATTTTTTTTAATTATCAAACAACTTCGAAGTAGTTAATAATATCACGAGTTTTGTAATTAACTCGTTGATTAAAAATTCATTTCACCGAATAAAATCTTCGAGTACATAAAGAGCTCTTTAATAAATCGATCAGTGGGTTAATTAAAAGTGAGAAATTTTTATTGAAACCCGTTGAAGGGGTTAAAAATATTTTCAATATTTATTTGATGAATATGTTGAGATTTCTGAAAACATGTTTACTGAATCTTTTTCCGGAACGACAAATTTTCAAGTTTATTTATAAAAGCTGAACGGTGACAAAAACATGTCGATAAGATTCGACGCGCCCACTTACGCTTCACGACAAAATAAATTGCATTTGAACGGCTCTTTCATATTTTTAATATCATAAAGAATACCTAGAAAATCAAGCTTTGAAAAGTTACCAAAAGACTAAAAAGACTGCAACGACACATTCCCTCACTTAAGATAAGAATAACTTCTGGACCTGAAATGATAAAGAAAAGCTGAAGTCTTAAATCTTTTCCGTTTGAACTATCTACAGAGAATGAAATCGCCATAACTAGCCCTTTAGATTTCAGCAGTAAAAGCTTAAGCTGAAAGACGTCTGACAACCAAGTGTATCGAAAGGTTTCTTGGCGTTAACAACATTTAATAAGTTCTCTCAATTTAATTATCGAAAATTAATTTCAAGTTTGCAAATTCATAAATGCGTATAGCAAGTAATAAACATTTAAGGTAAGTAATTACAAAAAGTTATTAATATAATTAATTATGATAATAAAATAATTATAATTCTATAACAAAATGTTTTTTAATGCTAATCAACTTACCTAAACCACCATCTAGAGACGAATAGCATAAACGTAATCTTAAAACGGAGCGTCATCTACTATTCCCAACGGATCATCGAAACGATCCCTTCTCCTTACTTTAAATTCATTTAAGAAATCATAGACGGTGCTCCTAATTTAACATCAAACTAATAAAACAAAGATTAAAAAATGATATAATTAATGTAAAATAAAACAAGAATTGGTCTACCTTAATTTATGCAATGACTTATATGTAGTATACAAAAAACTAAGTGGTTCAATATTGTAACCGTGACCACCCGTGACATTCGACATTGGCCTTTGAAACCGGCTGTGAAAACCCGGACAATCAAAAACACCCAACATAAAAAAAAAACAAGTTAAATTATCCTTATATTATATTTATGCAGTTTTACCTTCCACTTTCATTGTTCTTTTGTAACTTTTAGTTTAGTTTCTTGTAGTAAACAAAGTAATTTTGAAAAGAATCAAAAAAAAAGTTATATACAGGGTGTTTCGGTGACTCGGAGAACAAATTTAACCACATATACTAGAGTGAAAATGACGACGATTCATATAAAAAAAAATTAGTAAAAGTCTTCAAATTTCAAAGATACAGGCCATCAAAGTTAGGAAATTTTAACAAATTTTTCCAAATATCTTAAAGGTTAGGTAATTTATGGTTTGGATCGGTCCGCGGGAACAATGCTATACAGCTGTTCCTAAAGTTTGTTTGCTCAGAACTTTTTTATTCTATCATAACCCTACATTTATTTTTGATGTTGGGTTCCAATTTCAATAATAGCACAAAAAAAAAGAAATCTAAGTTTTTGAACGTTTCCTTTAGTACTTTTTATTACTTGTCTTGTTATTTTATGTACTTTTTTTATTATTCCTGTTAGTGTTGTCGTTTTTTGTTTATTTTTTGTTGATTTTTAATTTATTGTTTTTGGATTCTTTTATTAAACCAACTAAAACAAATTAAAAATGTGATTTAGCTAAATCTACACTTTTACATGTTGCATACATAATAGTTATGACAACTCAGTTCGATTTTCACTTGTCATTGCCAATTCAGATTATTTATTTATTTATTTTTTTAGTGTTATTGAATTCGGAGCCTAACATTTTTGCATTTAATACGAAAACGGTGGTTTCTATCAATATTCTCTAAGATTGATAAAAGTTTCTAAACTAAAATTGCTCTTAGAAACTGCAAAAATAAATGTAGTGTTATGATAGAATAAAAAAGTTCTGAGCAAACAAACTTTCGGAACAGCCTGTATAGCATTGTTCCCGCGTACCGATCCAGCTCAAAAATTGCCTAATGATTTTACGTGATATTAGTTTACACTGTACCAAATTTCAACGCTTTACCATAAATAGTGTTTAAGATATTTAGAAAAATGTGTTAAAATTTCCTAACTTGGATGGCCTGTATCTTTACAATTTGAGGACTTTTACTAATTTTTTTTACATGAATCGTCATTACACCCTGTATACACCCTGTATACAGGATGATTCAAAAAACCGCTCAATAAAACATTATCTGCAATAAAAAGCCCTTTTTTAAATCGTCTACGCCATTACTAATTTGGTCAAACGGGCAGTATTTTCGTGTCAAATCATCAATTATCTATCAATTGGTCAGTGGGAAACACGGGTTTGTAGAAAATTTGTTAATCCAATCAAAAACTGTTGCTTTAATCAAAGTTTTGTGAGAGACCAATTGATAGATAATTGATGACGAAAATACAAAATTTATAAAAAGTTTTTTATTGCAGATAATTTTAAAGAAACTTTGACAACTTACATCTCGTTAAGGTGGCATTTGTAAGCCCATATACAGCGTGTTAATTAATTCCACGCCATCATTCCAAGTATGCAACCAATATCACAATGTTGATATTGCAATACGCAAATTGCGATATTGGTTGTATACTTGTAATGATGACATCGGGTACGATAATTAATTAACACACTGTATATTAAGACTAGAAGTCTGTTTTTTAGAATCACCCTGTATATATATAATTTCAAAGAACTAATTTATTTTTTTAATTTATTGCTAATTTAACAATTAAAAAACAGGTCGTTAAGCATTAGTGTTTCTAATAACAACCTACTCATATTTATGAAAAAAAAAATGATTGATCGAGGGTCAATAAACGGTTCAGGATTCTAAAAGTTTTAAGTCGTGAATAGAATGGATGTTTTTAGATTAGCAATTTTAAGCGGTTAATGTGATAAATCCTTATGAGGCATTTCGTGAGATATTTTTTGATCTTATTATTATAATTCTTTTTTTTGTTTCGTCTTAAGTCCGCGTCCGTCAATAAGACTTCTTCGAAACCAGTAGTGGTGGGGGTCAGTATTGACAGGACTAGTTTTATATAGGAGGCAAGTTTAAAAACTGGAGACTTAAGTCTTGGTCTTTATTCATCAAAAACCCTTTGGCATGATGGGGTTTTTAATTCGACTATTCGTTGTGTGTTGTTCCCTACATCTAATTAAGTGCTTAGAATCATCAAATTTAGATGACACCATCGTCGTTGAATGTACGTATTTTTTAAGTATTAATATAGTTTCCTTTTTTTTTCAAAAAGTTTATTGTTTAGAAATTTTTTTTTGAATTTTTTTTATTTAAATTTATTTTATTTGGTGAATCGCAATAATAGAACAATGAGAGATCGATAGCCAAATATTGAAATTACAATAACGGTATAGCCTACACACTCGGTGACTTTGAATAAGATCAGGTCATGTGCAGAATTTTTACTTTGTCTTTTGTCCGCCCATAACAACACTTCGAAGGTCACCCCGTGCGTTCACCTTTTCTTTCTGGATTGAATCGTCCTTTTGGCATTGCAAAAGGTGACCATATCAAAACAAGTTTAATTAAGTTTATTTGCACAAAACAAAATTACAAAATTAGATTTATTTTATTTCTTTCATTTTCTAGCTGAAGCCTACAATAGGCAAACTCGCCAAATATTTTTAAACGCCATTCCAATCATTTTGCAACAACCCGTTTTCGAAGATTTATCAAAATCGCCTTGTTTCACGAAAGATGATGAAGCAGGGTTATGCATGTCCTTTAGGCAATGTTATCCAACTACGGAAGAACCAAACTTTCAAAATTGGTTGTTAAGCGTTCAAAATACTTGCGAATATCGCACGGCGCAAGGCAGAAAAGTAAGTAATTAAAAAAAAATTAACAATTAAAAATTTTCTTTTAGCTTGTAGGGGTTTGTTGCACTGGTCTTTCTTCGCAATCAAATTCGATCCCTTTCCAAATCCTTAATGATTCTTCTGTAGTTGAAAAACAATTTATTCACGGAGGATGGCCACCTCCGTTACCAACCCACCCCCCTTCCGTTACAATTCCTCCTCTTCCAACTCATCCCCCAACCACTTACCCTCAATGGACAACTTCAACTCTCAAACCACCAAATTGGCCACCCCAAACTACCAAACCACCAAATTGGCCTCCCCAAACTACTAAACCACCAAATTGGCCTCCCCAAACCACCAAACCAGTTTGGCCACCAAATCCTACTCCGGCAAAACCCACTCCTCCAACAACAAGTTATTCTGAGTGTGGAATGAAGAATGGGGATCAAAATAGAATTGTTGGTGGACATAATGCTGATATAAACGCATGGCCGTGGATGGCTGCTTTATTTAATAATGGAAGACAATTTTGTGGGGGTTCATTAATCGATAATATTCACATTTTATCAGCTGCCCATTGCGTGGCGCAGTAAGTCTAACAAAAAATTAATTAATTTTCATATTTATTGTAATATTACAGTATGAGTTCTTGGGATGTTGCTCGTTTAACGGTTAGATTAGGCGACCACAACATCCATTCAAACTACGAAATTCAGCATGTTGAGAAACGTGTAAAAAGGGTGGTGAGACATCGAGGATTTGACTCAAGAACTTTAGTAAATAAAAAATGCGTTTTAAAACAATTTTTATTTATTAATTTTTAATTTTTTTAGTACAACGACGTCGCTGTTTTAACGATGGATTCTCCAGTAACATTTTCAAAGCAAATTCGTCCAATTTGCCTTCCAACTGCTTCGGATGGCACAACTGGACGAGCGGGACAACGAGCAACCGTTATAGGTTGGGGAAGTTTAAGAGAAACCGGACCTCAACCATCCATTTTGCAAGAAGTTGACATTCCAATTTGGAGTAATACTGAATGTAGAATTAAATACGGCCCCGCTGCTCCTGGTGGTATTACCGAGCATATGTTATGTGCTGGGCAAATCGATAAAGATTCTTGTAGTGTAAGTTTTGTAACATTTTATATTAATCAAAATTAATTTTGTTATTTATAGGGAGATAGTGGAGGTCCGTTAATGATAAATTCTGGAAAATGGACACAAGCTGGTGTTGTATCCTGGGGAATTGGTTGCGGAAAGGGACAATATCCCGGAGTTTATAGTAGAGTGGAAAGTTTTCTTCCATGGATTCAAAAGAATTTGAAAGATTCTTAAATCGTTTTTTGAACACGGATTTTATTTACTTCATTTTATTTATGTTTCCTATGAATGTTTAACTTGAATATTAAATCGATTTGTCTAATAAAAGCTGAAATATATAATTGTTTTTATTTGAATGAATAAAAAATCGCACAAAGACGTTACTATTTTGGTTGGGGGAGGGACGTTTCAAATCATTCGTAAAGTCTAATTAGGCGAAAACGTCAACAGTAAAGTGTAAATTTCGTCTCGTTAACACCCGTTTGGGGGCATTAATTTTCTAAGCAGCGATTTTGAGAGACGTGAACGCGTAATTTAATACAGTTCGGAATCGACAAACAAAGCCATATCGTTGTTTTTAGTGAAGTGGGCGTCACTCCTATTTATTTCTAACAACTACCAGAGGACGACTCTCGGTATCAATTGACCGAAAACTTTTTTGTCGAAGCCAAAAATAAAACAAATTTTTTTAACGATTTTTATTTAATCTCATCTAAATTCATTTCGATTTATAAACGCATGCATACTTTATCAATATCATAAAAAAGGAAAACAAACATATACAAATTTTAAGAGTCAAACACCTCCAATTAAGTAGATTATAATTATGATAATAATAATAATAATATAATACTGATACATTTAAAAATAAATATCGTTTGAAGAAAGGTGGGCTATTTTCCTCTTATTTTATTTTTTATTCGCCGCTCACTGTATATATACAAGGCCTGTAGTTAAGGTGAGACTCGGTAGGGCCATGTGTTAGACCGGAGCGGCACGAAAATAGATATATTATATACAGTTTGAGGAAATATCTACAAATTAAATGACTCTAAAGATATACTTCCACGTTATAAAGATATTTACATCCCCCTTTTCATAGCGGCTGTTCTTGTTTCAACTCCAACGCCCACACGTGTTGTGGCCAACCTGTACGCCCTTTTGCCCTTCTTATTGTGCTGATCATATCTTCCTGTTTACATAAAAAGAAAAAAGCATCACAACAAAAAAACAAACGTAAACATAACTCATCCTACAAAAAAACTTTTCAACGGAAATCTCATCATCGACAACAAGAAAAAATATGCACAAGTTCATTTTACATCCTCTTACTACATAACAAAAATGTTTATGTTTCAACTTTAAAGAAGATATTTCATTTCATTTTTATACTCAACATCTTCATCTTTTATTTTTTATTTTTTTAATATCACTGTACCCAATATTATCGTTTTTACAGTCATATTTTTTATTATATAATAATAAATTAATTTTTTTTATTTTAATTTTTCATTAATTATATTAAAAAAATTTAAACAACTTTACATTCATCATATTTCCACATTTTTTGACTTGAGATTGTGGCTCATTAATATATAATTAATTAAACACTAGACTTAGAACTAGAAACATTCGGATTTTGCCGCACGTCTCTCAAGACGGCTAAACCCGAATGATTCTAGTTCTAGATCTTGTGTCAGTTCTAGTAATAGTGTTAATATAAAACTAGAACTAACACAAGACCGAGAACTAGAAACATTCGGATTTAGCCGTCTTGAGAGACGTGCGGCTAAGTTAGTTCTAGTGTTAGTTCTAGTATTACACTATGACTATCACTAGAACTATCACAAGACCTAGAACTAGAATCATTCGGATTTAGCCGCACGTCTCTCAAGACGGCTAAACCCGAATGATTCTAGTTCTAGGAATTGTGTCAATTCTAGTGTTAGTTCTAATTTTAGTTTAATAAAAATATGCCACATATTGATCTCTTATATTAACTAGCGCCACCTACTGTCACTAGAACTAACATTAGACCTAGAACTAGAAACATTCAGACATGTTACATTTTATGTGGGACAAAATATAGAAATATATTTTTGTATATTGCATTTTAAGTGAAATTCACTGTATATTAATATTATTAATATATATATATAAATTTTAGATCATAGATATAATTTCTACCCCTTATAATAATTAAATTTATCCCCTAATTTAATAATGTAGATATGTTTTGACACTATCCGTAGCGATGTAGATAATAAAAGGGGGATGAAAATCGAATTAGAATCCTCTAATTGACCGCGGCGCAATCGCATTGAGTATATTTTCTTGTACGTTACACGAACCAGAAGGCCCCCTTTGCAGATTAAATAAGATGAAAAAAATGAACTTACCGAAGTGTCGCTTTTCGGGGAAATCTGTCCTGATGTGCACTCGTTGACTTGGATGTGTGATGAATTTGTTGATTTTCGCCCGTGTGTTGTTAACTCCGCCCGGAAACCCCCCGCTGGATCGTCTGTTTCTAATACTTCGGTTAAATAAGAAATGTATGAAGTTGCTAGTCTTAAAGTTTTAATCTAAAAAATTATTTTTATCGTAAAAATTTTAATTTTTTTTGTTGATTGATTCACCTTGGATAATTTGGTATCAGCAGGAACATTTGGTATACAATCTCTTAAATCTGCATAGGCATTATTAATACTTTGAGTTCGACGTCGTTCTTTCTTATTAGCAGTATTTCTTCTTTTTACAACTCGAATATACGGCGTTCTTAAACGATCCATATCGTTATCTTGGGACATTACATTATAGGTTTGTTTAAATTTTGAGTGACAATCGTTTTGAGAATAAGTTATGGGTGTGTATATTTGATAAGGTCCAACAACTGGACTTTCAATTGGACCGCTTGGCGATGGCGAATCCGAACGTGGACTACTCGACCAAAAATTTGATTCTTCACTAGGACCAATATTAGATCCGTCTAAAAACAAAATTTAATATAAACATTCAAAAAATTAATGTCAATCTCTTTCTGTTTTGAAATTAATCCAACATTTAGTCCTTGTCATAAATTGTTTATTGTTCCAAGTTGTAAGTCCTACCCTAGTAAGTACACAGTTGGCGAGCAAGTGTTCGTCATTCACGGGGATTATATCATACATACATATTATACATATATATCTATGTATGTGAGCGACGTTTTTTGATAAGCTTCTACAAGTGGCACTCGGAATAAAAACGTCTACGGCGACATCTTGACTACACGGACCGTGCAGTAAATAAACACTGAGCGTAGAGTAAACAATTCTTGTCCACTGGAGTTAATATTGTCTGTTTTAGATAATTTAAGACAAGATATTACACTTCATAGACAAACTGAAAGATTTATTTTCATATTAAGTAAATCAAATTATTTCAAATTTTACATCATTTAAGTACATTGATTATATATCTTGAAAATTATTAGGTTTATATATATATAAATAGACGATTTAAGAAGAATTTTGATAATTGTCTAAAAATACTAAAAACTTTAAAAAATCATATCTGCCAAAATTTTTGAAGTAAAGCAATGATTTATATCTTAAATTAAAGTTGAAAGATGATATTTTATGATATGATTAAAATAATATTGGGTTTTATCGATAAATTTTTTTGAAAAAAAGTGTTGNGGCTAAATCCGAATGATTCTAGTTCTAGGTCTTGTGTTAGTTCTAGTATTACACTATGACTATCACTAGAACTATCACAAGACCTAGAACTAGAATCATTCGGATTTAGCCGTCTTGAGAGACGTGCGGCTAAACCCGAATGATGCTAATTCTAGGTCTTGTGTCAGTTCTAGTGATAGTGTTAATGTAAAACTAGAACTAACACAAGACCGAGAACTAGAAACATTCGGGTTTAGCCGCACGTCTCTCAAGACGGCTAAACCCGAATGATTCTAGTTCAAGGTCTTGTGTCAGTTCTAGTGATAGTGCTAGTGTAAAACTAGAATTAACATAAGACCTAGAACTAGAAACATTCGGATTTAGCCGCACGTCTCTCAAGACGACTAAACCCGAATAATTCTAGTTCTAGGTCTTGTATTAGTTCTAGTATTGCACTAGGACTATCACTAAAACTAACACAAAACCTAGAACTAGAAACATTCGGGTTTAGCCACACGTCTCTCAAGACGGCTAAACCCGAATGATTCTAGTTCTAGGTCTTGTGTTAGTTCTAGTGATAGT